CGCCCGGGGTTTGGTTCCCCCCAACGGCGGCTTTCTCTGCAGCGGCTCCCATGGCCGCCGTGGGTCGGCAGCGGGTCAGTGCAGGTCTGTGTGCCGCTGCGCACCGCTCAGCCCGTTGCCGGACGTCCCGGCCTCCCTTTGCCATTGGCGCCGGGCGCTGCGGCACGGGTGAGGCTCCACGCCCACAGGCATAAGAAGGCCGTCTGCCGCCGGGCTGCAGCCGCAGCGCTGGGCATCGCCAGGGGAGGTGAGAGGGGAGAGGGGGGAGGGCTCGGGGATGCGGGACCGGGAACCGGCTACGGGCGGGCGGGGCTGCTCCGGAGCTGAGCTCTTTACTCACCGCAGAGGCCGGTGGAGAGCTGAGATGATGTGGCAGATATTTACCCGTGCGGAATGAATTAAACGAGGACCGGCCACCAAACTGTTGGTTTTTTTAACCCCAGCGTCAGTGCATTCAGCAGCTTCTGGGGAGATGCACTTGTATCCCTCCCTGTCAGGTTATATTTGGTCTGGCTTTTTGTGAGATCTGCAGGAAAAGCTGCGGTTACTGGTAGTCCTGAACTGGTCTCCAGGTCTTATGCGTGAGGAAGAAAGGCAGAGGAGTTGCCCTTGTTTTCTCCTATTGGCACCTATCAAAATCGAATCCTGCTCACTTCCCCCTGACTATTCATTTGGAAATGGGCCTGCAGGCAAGAAGGACAGAGGCAAGGGCACCTGAAATGGAAGGGAAAGCAAAGCCTTTCTGAAGTGCCTCCCTCCACCCCCACCCTCACCTGTTCCTATCCCAATAGGTAGAGCAGTGGATTGAGCAGTAGGAAAAAAAAAGAATAGGTGAGGTGACAACATTCATGATTAAGTGCGTGTTTCATCAGCTGAGAACGTAGCACAAGGATACTGTCCAGTTCCTGCTGCGTTTTGATTAGTGGGGCTTGAGGATTTGGGTCATCCAAAGGTGGATTTCTTTCCCATAGGGAGTGCCAGGCAGCAGGGCTGAGATGCAGCCCAACTACAGTGAGACCTGGGGAGGTGTAGCAGTTCCACGGCCTGGAGCTGCATGGCAGCTCTGAGCCAGAGCTCAAGCCCCATCCCAGGCACAGACTGGTGCTCTGTGCTTCCCACAGCCCATTTCTGCTATGCAGGTTTCCCAAAAGCACTGGCAACACAAGCTTAGCAGATGACCCTGTCCCACTTGTCAGCTAGCTCAGCACTTATAGGAAATGCAGGAATCCTCCAGGGTTTTGCCACCTGTCTCCTTCCAGTTTTCTGTCCTACGCTCTGCACACCTGACAACAACGCCTGTCTGTTCCAGGGAATGCACCTGTCCCACTGCCACCACTCCTTGTGCTGCAGCTCATCTGGAGCACTCACAGAGCCAAGGCCTCTTAGAACCACAGATCCACTTCCCCAAAGTGAGAGCTGCTAGCAGAGCTTGTCTGCACTGCTGTTGGGTGGGAGGGTGCCCCAGGGTACTGGTGCTCACCAAGCAAAAGGCATCACTGCAGCCTAACCCTGTTGATGTGCCCATTGCCTCCCTGTGACCTCAGGACTGTGCTGTGACCATGTCTGAGCTGGAGAAGGCCATGATCGCCATCATTGATGCTTTCCACCAGTACTCTGGGAAGGAAGGAGACAAGCATAAGCTGAAGAAATCGGAGCTGAAGGAGCTCATTAACAATGAATTAACCCATTTCCTTGGTGTGAGTATTGCCTCCTACATAGCACACCTGGGCTCAGGCTCCAGCTCCCCAGGAGCAGGTGGTGGCTGGACAAAGCCTGTGTCAGGGCTGGAGGCTTGGGTTGTACACTAGGGAAATTTCCTTCCCTGGGAGGGTGATAGCCTTACTCTGTGGGCCTCAAGGTGCCCTGGTAGGGCTGCTGTTAAGCAGATGCTGCTTACACTTGTTTCTGTTCTTTCAGGAGATCAAAGACCAAGAGACTGTGGACAAAGTCATGGAGGCACTGGACAGTGATGGGGATGCAGAGTGCGACTTCCAGGAGTTTGTGGCCTTCATCGCCATGGTTACCTCTGCTTGCCATGAGTTCTTTGAGCATGAGTGAGCTGGTGAGAAGCAGTTGAGAAGCTCCCACTCACTCTGGAGAGATGCAGAGCAGCACCACTCCTCTTGGGAAAAGACTGGATGCACTTGGGAGCTCCGTGAAGTTAAGCTTGTGCTACTTAAGCAGCTTATTAAACTCTGCAGCTTTGTGAGCTGAAATGCCCATGCATCTTGGGAAAGCCTCTTGGACAGTGCCCACCTGGGATGCTGTGTGTATGAATGCCTCATCGCAAGCTCACTCCCTGCTGCTGCATGCAAGGGACAGGCAGGGGGCTGGAAGCAGGCGGCCGCTGCAACCCGAGGTTGCTGGCAAAGGGAGAAGGAAAATTCAAGGGTTGAGGCAGGGAGTGATGCAGAGAGGCTGGCTAGAGAAGCCTGGCTCTGAGCCCATGGGGCTACACTGAAAGACTCCTGTGACCTCTGTGGGCTCTGACTGCCCTGTGCGTGCTACTAACCCTGGAGACTTAGCAGAGCCCATGCAGTCCTTGCCTGCTCGAGACACTCCTGGCTTGAAAGGCAAAGTATAACCATGTAACAGCTCAGGCTTTTCTCCTGTCTATGAATCCTCCTGCTTGTAGCTGTCTGCAGAACTGGAAGTGAAAGCATAGGAGGCTCCTGGGCTGGGCCTGAGGCATGCATTGGCAAGCTCTACAGGCTCAGCCAGAAGGAAGGGGAAAATCCATACGTGATCAACTGCAGCCTTCAGAGCGTGTGGAAACAATGAGAATAAAATGTTGGTCTGGTCTTTGGGTCATTAATTGGGCTCTGGTGAAAAATGCATCCTTTTATTCCCAGGCTTTGTACACCTTGTGCTTGCTCTGAGTTGTCAAAGGTTGAGGAATACAGCCTCAGAGCACCACTGCAGTTCACACTGGCAGCAGGTTCATTTGCCTAGGGTTCTCTTTCAGCTCCTGTCTTCTATCAGTCTGCATTTGCCATCTGGATCAGGCACAACTGTGAGTGGGGCATTCATGGCTAGGAACAACACAGCAGCATCTCCACTACAAATTTATAGTAAAGAGGGCTGTGGATTATGTTGTTTTTACTTTGTAATGATTCAGTGAACAAAACAACCTAGTTTTTGACAGGGATCATCTTATTATCCTAATTTGCCTCCCCAAGCAGTGGCAAGAGGATGGTCAAGCAGAGACATGCATACGAGAAAGACAGTATCTTGTGCTCCATCAAGAACTGAAAAGGTTTTGCTATCCTAAGGTAGTGCGCATCCAAGTTACTTCCATTACATGCCTGACATCATTTCCTTGTACTGCTCACTTTCAGTCATGTCCACTACTTGTACAGATGGACCTGAGGACGTGAGGGGACAATGAATGAGGAGACTGTCCTAGAGCGTCCACAGTGAGGGCAGCTTTACCAGCTTTAACACTCACAACCCCGTCTTAAGCCTGAACCCAAGTTCATCAGAGGGGTCTCACGCCCCAGCAGAAGGCTTTGCAGGTGAGGCTCTGGCACCCACCTTTTTGTGAGGGTTGCCAGTGTGGCATATGGATGAGGAGCCCTTCCCTAAGACACTGCATTCAGTGGCTCAGTACAGCACTGTGGTAGCTGAGAACTGCAGCACAGCACCAGAGCAGGCTGCCTTGTCCCCTGGCCAGCAATGAGAGCAAGAGCAGGAGTGAAACTATACATCTCCACACACATTTCTGGCAGTTAGAATGATCCACCACTGCTGGAAATGCACAGGGGACTCACCTTGCACAAGAAGAAACTGGTGCTTCTTGTCGAAGAGGAGGAAAAGGGCGTATCTTCCTTTAAGTTAGGTCCCCTGGTAGTTATCAGAGCAGCACTCCTCTCCTGCAGAGCAAAGCAGAGCTCTTCTGAAGCAAAGAAACAGACTGCACAGGCATGGGCCTCAGCACCACCCGGTCTGCACAGCTCTGCTCCTGCATCCACTGTATGCAGCACAGAAGATGCCTCAGGTTTGTGGCTGATGGGGAGGGTTGTCAGAACTGCAGAAGGCAGACATCACAGCAGGGCTGAAGGAGGCTCCAAGGATTCACACAGTCCACTAACATCCATCTGGACCAGGCGAGATACTTAGAAGTGCCAGACCTGGCTGCAACAGATCTGCAGAAAAACAGCTCTGGCAGTGACAGGTCATTCATCTGGTAATTAATGTGACAGACCAACACATCTATTTTTATTTTGTTATGCTCCCATCCCTGCCAATGTAAACAGGCCAGCCTGCTGGATACCTGAGGTGTGTCCAGTTGCACTACAGTTTTTGAAGCTAGCACTGATTAGATTGATCTGACATAGCACCAAGCCCAACAGGACTCAAAAGCTCCACATTCATCATTTATGGAGTGACTCTCCATGGAAAGGGTAGTTTGTTAACAAGGAGCTGTGTGGAGGCACCGTGAGCATGAAAGCCCAGTGTGATACTAGCTGTGCACACAGGATGTTTCTGACACCTTACAGAAGAGGATACAAAGGGATTTCCCGCCAGAAAGGGCACCAACAGATAGTTTCTTCATATTAAGCACCCTGTTGAAATATGAACTACTTGCCAGCAATACTAAAAGTGAAGCAGAAGGAGAAAACACAGCAGGAGGGGACTGAAATATTTAACAGACTCAAACTTACAACACAAGAGAAGTGACAGCAAGGGGCAGCTTTGGTGCATATGCACTATATTATGGTTCTACTAAGTTACATTTTCCTAATTCAAAATGATGCCATTACTTTTCACTCTGGAATATTCAAATTGGGACAGATGACACGCATCCCAGTGTTCTGAAGGAACTGCCTGATGTGGTTGGCAAGTTGCTCTTCATCATATTAAAAAAATCATGGCTGTTCGCTGAAGTTCCCAGTGACTGGAAAAAGAGAAACATCACTCCCATTCTCAGGAAAGGAAGACCCAGGGAACTACAGGTTGATGAGCCTCATCTGGGAAGATCATGGAAGATATTCCTGGAATAGATGTTAAGACACATGCAAGATGCAGAGGTGATCAGAGACAGCCATTGTGTCTTCACCAAGGGCAGATCATGCCTGAACCATCTGGTGGCCTTCTATGATGGAGTGATGGCTTCAGTGGACAAAGGAAAGGCAACCGATGCTGTCTACCTGGACTTGTGCAAGGCCTTTTGTGTGGTCCCACACCACAGCCTTATCTCTACATTGGAGGATTTGAAGGCTGGACTATTCAGTGGATAAAGAATTGGATGTTTGTAGCCAGAGAATTGTTGTCAACAGCTCTGTCTGCATAGAGGCTGGTCACAATTGGTGTCCCCCAGGAGTGGTCTTGGCACCACTGCTCTTTAACAGCAACAAAGAAGTGGGATTGAGTGCACCTTCACAAAGCTTGCTGGTGACACCAAGCTGAGCGTTGCAGCTGATCTCCAGCGGAAGGAACACCATGTACACCATCTAGACAGACCGGTACATGCTCACATGAGGATCCATTAATGAGGCTGCAGTGTACTCTTCCCTCCTGATGCTCTAAAGGATGCAGAAGCCTATTTTTGCTCCCTCAAGCTGAAAAATACACTTCAGAAGAAAGTGGCAGCATTTCAGAGAGCGATCTGACTTCAGTTTGTTCCCTCTAACAGATGTTGCAACCAGAACATTTACCTGGCCTTACCCACTGTACTGTAACCGCCAGGGCATTCAAGCACTGAACTGCTCAAAATACAAGTGAACACTGTGTACTGTAAAGAAATTAGTTTTTGATCCAGCAGCCAACATTCATAAAGTCAGATGTTCAAGAGCTGTTTTGAAATGTTTAATGTGCTTTTGTTTTAAATCTTACAAGGCAACTTGTCTCACTGTCAACCATATCAATACAAAAATCTTACAATGCTTTATCTGCTAAAAAACTACGACATTAAAATTGGGGTTAAGTAGTTCTTCCTCTTTGCCAGCTGTTGTGTCACAGGGATTGCTCACTGCTAAAAGTTGCTGTACTTAGACAATAAGTTACACAGGTTCTGTACATAATTACAGTCATCATATGCAGCTGTATTATACACCACAGTCAAACATCACGAGGGCAAAGAACTACTGTATATGAAAGCTTTCCGTTGGAGATTTACTGTTCATTCGTCAGACTCATTTGATGTTCTCTTATCAGGAGACTAACATCCATCTTTCTTAGGCACTGATCCAGGCAGAATTGCCTTGCAGAAAAACCTGGCTCTTTTGCCAAACTCGTGCATTATATTAAAAAAAAAATTAACGGAGCTCAAACTTTATTAACTTTATAAAAATAATTATTTGCTACTCTCGTTCTTACCCTCAAATGCAGCAAGTATTTGAATAATTTCACATTCTCTTTCTGAGTTAGGTTCACTGCAGTACTAGATCAGGCAGAAACTTCAAAGCCTTTTTTAGCCAAGTGTGCCTATGCCACCTGGCTGTTGCAGCTGGAGCAAAACGTCTGCCTAAATACAACTAAAAAGATGAATTGTAACCAAAAAGACCCACCTAGCTAACACTGAGTATTCTTTTCATGGTGGAAAAAAGAATCACCATTGTACGTTTCAGCAAAGGGTATTAATGGAAACCACATTGTAAGGTCATGCTTTGTAAACATTTCTACAAACGATTCAGACTATTGGCTTTGGAATGAGTTTTTAAAGACTTGGTGTTATGCAGGGCAGTAATTAACAGCTAGAGCTATTAAAACAAGTAACTTTAACGTGAAGTTATGAAAGCAAGAGCAGTGAACGCTCCCGCATCAAACAGTTGAGTATTAATTTAATATTTTATTATAAAGTTTATAGCATTACAGAGTTCAGCTTGGCACACTAAGGAACCTTGTTACAGATGCAGTATTTGTTTTTGCTTGGTACAAAAAAGCTGAGCAGCAGCATAATTGTTACATTGAATCCGAGACTGGAATGAATTTGTTCTGAATAAGGATGAGTCAGTGATTTAAAATACAAAGGCTGCATTTTTAAACCTCAGATATGTGCAAAATTCCTTTCAGTACAGTAGAGAAAATGTTAAAGATGTGTGCAGTCTTAAAAGTTATTCCCCAACCCAGATACTGCCAATATATTGCAAACAATCACATGTAGGGGTAACTCAAACTGGTTACTAAGAACTTTCCCTATTATTTCCAAGAGTCACAGCTGGTGTTTGCTCCCCACCCTGCCTTATGTCCTTTTATGCAGTGCATCAAGTACTGACATTCACAATTATTGTAAAAAAAACCAAAACCAACAAAAAAATTGGTCCATGACAGTTCTAATAAGCTTCCTTCAAGAATTCCAGTAAATTCTAATACAGCAATAACTGTTATAATGGATTTACGAAAGCAAACACAATTGAGAGATGAAGGTCTGTGAAGATTAATATCTCCATTTTTCTAAGTTCTTCAACGGTTTTAAAAACATAACATATCAATTCAAATGCTATTCAGACAGTATCTACATTTTGGTGCTTTAGCCTTGATGCGATTTCCTTTCTTTCACATGTTGTAGGCAACATAAATAGGATCCAACTGGTCAGCTAAAAATCCGTCTCTCAAGTGCATTCGTTGTTTTTCACCACGGGAATTGATAGGAATAACTCCTGGGTCCACGATGACTACAACACCTACTATCAGATAATGCTCCTCCAGAACCACGTTTGTTACCAGTGCAACCAGGTCCAAGGCTTCTTGTTCCGAGCCTTCTAACTCCACAACCACCACAAGCAAATTGGTCCATGTAAATACAGCGCTGTTGGCATAATAAAAATGTTAATGTTGAGAAAAACA